CAGGGAGGCCTGAGGAGCCTACTACCTGATAACAACTGGTAACTATGAGCTATGAGTAACTATGAGTCCGGGTGATAGTTCCAGGGCGGCCTGCTAAGGCCAGCCAGCTGGGGACTCACCTATCAGGGAGGCCTGTTTGGGCCTACTAGCTGATAGCAAGTCAATTCTGCTACAAAGGTACACTGTTGGGAACCATACTACCCCAACATAACTATTGGGTCCAGCCACCGGAGGCCTAATACGGCTAGCTACCTGGTAGCGGCTATAAAGTATGTCCCACAATGTTGGGACTCACCTCCGAGGAGGCCTGTTTAAGGCCTACTAATAGGGGTGGGCCGTATGACCAAAATTCTATTTCACGGTATGACTAATTTTATTTCACGGTAACGATATATTTCACGATATAGTTAATTATATATGTAGTTATTCACGAAAAATCGACAAAAAGGGCTTTGCATAATAAATAAACCCAAATACTTTAGAAATGAAAAGTACTTCACATTGTTTTCTGTTTCTCTTATTTGGTAAATTATTTCTTTGGTAAACTATTTAGATAGCTAAATATAAACAAAACACACTCGTCAACTTTTAGATGAACTGCCCCCAACTGATTGATATTAAATACAACTCATAGGTGCAATTAAACTTTAAATAAAGTGTTTCTGAATAATTTTTCAATCTCATGTTATGCTTTACTTCATCAATCAGTTATATCTGAATATTTTATATTGAACTATTCTATTCATGATAAATTAGTTATTTCCTTTTAATTTTGTAGGATAGTAATACTAGTTATGTTTAAATGTGTTCCCCGGTACATTTTTGCCATGTCTGCTTAGGCTACACTGCGTTTTTAAGGGGCTTGTTTTGCTCTTTTTGTGATATCTGGCAACCCATCACCCTGCGCTTTAATCAATAGAAGTTCAGAAGTGACTAGAAGGAGAGCAGCAGTTTGAAAACCGAACAGCAGCGACTGTTAGTGTTGACAAAGTAGCCTAGTTTAAATTATACACACCTTGTAACTGCATCATTATTTGACCATAGCCCGGTGAACACCGCGCTCCCTCAGTGCGTGTGCACGCGCGCGTCTTCTGCATCAGTAAAATGCGATCGGTTAATTTGAGTGTCAAGTTGTAATCACGTATCGAATCAAAGGAAGATTTTATCAGCTGGTTCGGTGGCCAATTGTTTGGAGATAGAAATATATAACTCGCGATGCATATTTAGTCATTTTGCCTCGGATAGGCTACAGGATTATACATTCACTTTAACAAGCAGGTTGTTCATTACCACGGGCGGCAAACTGTTTGCGTGTTTAAAAACTATACATAAGAGACGGAAAGATGGAGATAACTATACATTATTTAAGGTTATTTCTATTCGTTACGATATTGATATATGAACTGTTGTTGTCCAGCTTTCCCCGTTGTTAGCGTGCACTCCTCTAATCTGGGTGCTGCTGCTCTAGTTAACTGCTGCGCCTTTCCCCCCGAAAATATCACGTTAACAACAACAACAACCCTTTAGAAAATGTAATTATTTTGTGGATCCTCTTGATCTGCTTTCTCCGTGTTTCTTTTTACAATTCGCTGTGTTTCAGTCTCACGCACGTTGCACGCGAGTTAACCACGCCCACTTATTTTGCATGTCGCGGTATACACGGAATAAAAAAATCTGTTACGGTTGACATTTTCTACCGCGGTAACGATATATACCGTCATACCGCCCAGCCCTACCTACTACCCATCAGTGAGTCAACTGCCCGAACCACCAGCCGTGAAGTAAGCTGGCCTACACCGTCCTCTTGGGGGCTGCCCATTCAAGGAGGCCTCCTGAGGCCTACTACCTAACGGCGCAGCCTTCGTTGGCAGATAAGCTGTTTACACAGCGCATACAGCATCCTGGTGCCTAATCACATTGCACATGGCAGTGTACAAGAGAGCTAGTACCCTTAAAACAAGGGGAGTACAACATACGCCACTCTGCTTCAACGGAGTCAGGGGCCTACCATCTGTACGCATGGGAGTCAGCTCATGGCAATGCTCTGGCTTCAGGGGAGCGTACTTTGACCAAAAAGAAGTGAAGGCTAGAACTTTCCGCTCGACCCGAGCCATAGTGGTGCGAGGTACGAAGTACTCAGACCTACCCTATATCACAGGGGAATACTCCCACCTCACCCTGAGGTTTACCAGGCTGCGGGCCAGCCAGAGGCTCTATGGATGACAGAAAATGTATCTGTGCCCAACCTAGGGGAGTGGGGCTTGTTTGTGAGCCAAACCACCTACAACCCAACGCCCGAGCAGTAGCTCAGCGAGGTAAGTGAAGCCTAAACTGGCGGCCCAGATCCTTATGCTAGTTCTGCATGGCAGGGTCGGGCAGACAGACCCAGTCTCTTCGTGAGGCGAAAGACAGCCTAACCCTGCTCAATAAAGACACATTGTACCCGGGCGGCCATTTGAGGCCTAACCCAGGATCTTTATAAACCATGCCTCTGCACCACGCTGCATTACTCTTGTCGCCCCAGAATGCAGAGAAGGCCTAACGACTCCCATGGGAGGAGGCTGTCATACAGAGATGCTTTCTAGAAACCTACATTCACAAAGTGAAGGGTCAGAGGCAGAAATGCTTAAGCAGAGCGCCTCCACTATCCCTGGCACAGCTTAGACCAGCTACAGAGGCGGCCCTGGTGAGGGCCAGCCTGCAAGCATAGATCTACCTGAGGGCTCGGAGGAGCCACAGCCTTACTAGGAAAATAGTTATTATTATTTCATACAAGGGGCTGCAGAATCGCTCAGCCCACTGAAAACCAAAACAGAGCTCAAGGGGGCGATGTACTCAGGAAAGAAGTCAGACGGACCCGTGGGCCGGACATAAGATCTATCTGAAGCTCTAGCGTCAGTCAAAACTCCAAGTAAAAAATCCTATGAGAGAGAGACCAACTACTCTACCCTGAGGTGGCTAACGGCCCAAGGGCTAACATAGTTTCACATCACAAGAGAAGCCCATACAGCTGGTGGTTCTTCCTATCGTTCTAGCCACCTAAAAAAGATCACTCAGCTCACCTGCGGCGTGCGAAGTGAAGACTCACCAGACAGTTCTTTATGAACATGGGGTCTACCACCTTAACATGCCTGAAAGAGGCACTCTCACTAACCAAGCTGAGGCGGGCCATCAGAACATTGTTCTAACCATGAGCCCAGCCTCAGGCCTGATGTAAGAAGCGCCTGGGGAGTCGGGGAAGAGAGGAAAGGGCTAAGATATAATCACGCCCTCAGGGAAGATGATCCATGACCGACGCAATGTGCGTTTGTGCTGGATCACCTCCCTCAGATCCCTCTTCTTGCGGGAGTCGTGCCTCCTCTGCGACCTACTCCTCCACGGAGGAGGCGCACGAGAGGCGACACTGGCTCTCTGGCCCTATCTAAGGTCCTCGGACCATGATGGGCCAGGCCCTCCCATCTTTCTGGGCGTGGACACGGATCTCAGCGGTATGTATGTCCTGGATACAGCTGAGCCCGCCTTCGACTCTCTGAACTTTCCAACCACCGCCTCCACGGAGGTGCCGAAAAGCTCAGAGGGCGAAACCAGCGAAACAAGGAGAAAGCCTTTCTCTTTCTCCCCGATGTCGGCCAGGTTCAACCACAAATGTCTCTCCGTGGCCACTATCGTCGCCATCGACCGGCAGATCGAGGAAGCAGTCTGTTTGGTGGCCTGGAGAGCTTTTTTTAATTTGCGGCGCAGCTCAGTAACCGCCTCAGGGGCCCCAACCCCTGGTCGAGCTCCCCCAGCAGATCGGCCTGGTATACCTGCAACACCGCCATGATGTGCAGGGTAGCACCGGCCTCACCCGCTGATGTGTGTCAATTGTCCCATTGACGCATACCCACGCTCTCCTATCCCCTCAACATCAGTGAAACTAGCCCGCTAATGTTGGTGGATACAGGCAGAGTATGGGTTCTTCCATGTCCTCTCGATCTCAGTATGAGATTGGGAAGAAATGAAAGGCTCACCTGAGCTGGTGGTTCTATGACCGGGGAAAAAACGCTCTCACCGCGAGCGATTTCTCCCCCAACGAGCAACCATGGCAGCTGCAGCCTGCCCGCAGCGCGTTCCATAACACAAACCAGCTCAGCATACACAGGGCAGGGTGGCTGAGAAGATTCAGGATATATCCGATTATCACCACCCTCATCAGCCATCTCCTGTTTGTCCGGGAGAGCACTTGCTGCCGGACTAAGTTTCCTTTTTTTTTTTTCATCATCCAATTGCAGCTTACTCTCGTAAGCCGCCGCATCGTCTGAGAGGATTACACCCCTCTCAAGGCGATCGGCGGGCTTCATCTGGGAACCTGACATCCAGACGCTGAACCCTCTAGAGGGACAGGCGAGAGCGGAGCATATTCACAAAGAAAAATGCTCACAATTTGTACAAGCAGTTCCCTCGAAAACTGCCTGTGGGAGCTCTTCCTTCCCGGACAGAAAAACGCTCAGTTCGTGTGTGTCACCTGGCTTCAGATATCTTGAGCACGGGTCTGTACACTTCTGAAAGCATTTCATAATTACCTGATTTTCAAAGCGGTTAAAGACAAAACAGTCCCTGAAAACGAAAAGGATATTGTCATGTTTGCAAGGCGCCCTTTTATACTTCCAGTTCGCATGTTAATCATTCACATTAATGATTCACGGGCTCTCGCTGGTCAATGTGATTGACGTGATTTGATTGTGATTACAGACACCGTCACGCCTGAGGCGTTCCCCAAAGCGTCATTCGACACAGTGCGAGTTTCCTTTCGAAAGGGAACAGTCATGTATATGTTTTTGTATACATAATCATTTTTTCCCTTTTTTTTCGAGATAATATACTCTTAGATACATCATTATTCACTATTCAGTCATGTAAACGCAGGTTTTAACCAAGCAAATAAATGTTTCCTGGTCCCAAGCACAGTTTCAAGAAAGAAAAAAAAATGTAAACTGAAATTACAGAGATTTTAGTGAATTTTCAAAAGCTCAATTTTATTTTACAAATACACAACAATAATTTTGTTAGACTACACATTTGATTGTTTTACTGCCAAATACTTGAATGCAAGTGTAATTCGCACTTTATGTTATGCAACCTTGTTATAATTGCAAGTTTAATGCTGCTGCTTGATGCTTTATCATAATATTTCTCTAAAGGTAAATGCACACTATAGGAATTCAAACTCTGAATGAGAGGAAATGAAAGTTGCCTGAAAATAATTCAAATGACACAACTTTTTAACAAGGGATAACTTCTACAACACATACTGTAAATAATGAAGGGGGGAAAATCTGAACTATGTCAACCAGTGACTTCAGTCTAAAGCTTCTTTGGCCTAACAAACACTTGCAATAAAACATAATATCACATTACCATGACACATGGAATCAATTAGTGTAAAATGTTTACAATATTGTTTACAAAACAACTGAATGATGATTTTCTGCTCATCAGACTCTGGCAAATATCAGTAGTGCTGTAAATAAAGGAACAATCCAATACTTCACAATCAAAACAGTGTGAGGCTATTCAAGCTGTCAAAGCTTTATTTTATTTTTTACCCCTTGTTTCTTTTGTCAAACAAAGGTATTGATTTAATACTAGCGTAGAAAAGTGGTAGCCTGTTTTAGTTTAAACGTGTATAGTACACTGCCTGGGAGGACCAGCCATTCCCATGATGCCATGAGGTACTCAGGCATCTATACCCGTGCTGACAAGCAGTTCATAGGCAGGGTCATGACCTCTGCGGCAGAGGACCACACATGCACACAGCAGCCCAAGCATCTGTGCAGAGAACAGGAAACTACGGTCAAGACATACATTTACATTGAGGATGTTGACAAAAAAGATTATGAGAAAATATTTCAAATATTCTGTATAATCTGTAAACATCAAGGTAGTATAGTTCATAAAAGGATGCATATATGTTCAACGATGTTTTGATCAAAGAACTAACAAAAAGAGAATAGCTGCAATGAACTCTAAATAAACATGTTTTTATAACAAACAGATAGGCTATTACACAGCTCTCCTGATTACTGCATGGAAGCTTGTTTCCACCACGCAACCACGGAATAAAAAAATAAAAAAATGTAATTCCGACTTTTTTTCTCGCAAGTCTGAATTTATCTCACAATTGTGGGGAAGAAAAGTCAGAATCGTGACATATAAAATTATAATTCCGAGGGAGAAAAGTCAGAATCGTGACATATAAAATTATAATTCCGAGGGAGAAAAGTTAGAATTGTGACATATAAAATTATAATTCCGAGGGAGAAAAGTCAGAATCGTGACATATAAAATTATAATTCCGAGGGAGAAAAGTTAGAATTGTGAGATAAAAAGTCGCAATTATCTTATTTATTTATTATTCCACGGCAGAAACAAGCTTCCATACGATTCTGATTGTTCAGTAATACAGACAGTGGTGCGTTCCAGATAAACAGGATTGTTCAGTAATACAGACAATGGTGAGTTCCAGATAAACAGAACTCTGTCGGAGCATCTCAGTCAGCTCCCTAGGTCATGACTCAGTATTATGTACACGAATTCGGGTCCTTGTGATTGAATGGAAAGCGTTTAGAAGTGACAAATTCAACTTGGATATTATTCGGTGTATATCAAACCGCTCGACTTGGTGTCACGAACAATTGGGTCCGACGGTCAAATGGATCCGCCAAGGATAAACTGTTTAAACAAGGATAGGCTGTTATTATCTTTGTTAATTTGCGCTACTTTCATGTCTAGCATCCCACCTCTCGCTCTCATGTCTCATAATAACACAAATGACGCCATCTATCGTCAGTTATAGACTGTGTTTAAAATGACCTCAGAGGACGTCTTGTTGCTTGGCCGATTGTTTTGTACATTTTATTTGTCTTTGCTTACTATAATATTCAGGTAAGATTATTAAATAATTTGGAATCAATCTTTCATGTCCACGTATTTATTTATTTGTAACCTGATTAGCCAGGTTACTTTTTCCATGTGGTGTTTCCATTATTTTAAACTCCCTGTACTTACTGCTATGGTATGGCAATGGTTGGCCTCAACTGCAAATTACCTGTATGGCAGCGAATGTTAATGCAGCCAGTATGACGTACAGCATAATGTCCTTAAGTTTCTTTACTACAAGAACTTCACAGCCCTGTAACAAGAAGTTCAGTTATAATAAATTAGTAATTTAATAGTTTTGGACTTCTGGAGAATGTGTGTGAGGGTGTTACCTCTGGGTAAAGGTCTCCTGGTCGCATTAACGTCCCAGTGCAATTACTGATGGTGGGTTTGCAGCAGCTCACTGGAACGCTATTGTTTTTGGACTCAATAAACCAGTGAGTGTTCATCCAATCAGAGTAGTTATGAATGCCACAACAGTAGAGCTAAAAGTGAACGATTGTAAGAAGAGAGGTTTAGAGAGAATTGGTGAAAAAATTATGAAAAAAGAGGCAAAGGAACTGATAGTGTTACTTGTCGCTGCACATAGTCAACGGCCCTGCTTGGAGCGTCTGTGTTGGTGCCTTTATATTCATTATATACTTTCTGAATAGACTGATTCACCACAGCCTCGACCTTTTGGAGAAGAAGAAAATATTTTTAGTTTTTTAACAATGACACTGTCAAACTACCCACATGTGCACGTCATTTTATTATTTCTAAGTTACCTTGGCTCTGTAAATATACCCTAGCACCACTACAACCACCTCTGTAGCGAAGACCAGTAGCAGCACTGCTGAGAACTGCAGAAAAATCAAGAACAATCAGGAAAGATTCCGAATAAAAAGCTGCTCTATATATGCTCTATATATGTTAGACTCTAGTTTACCGTGACCAGGCCGCAGGGGCTTTCTCGAATGGTGGCACAGCAGCCAATTAAACCAATGACAAAAAGAAGCGTGCCCACAGCAATTATCACCATGGCAGGGATGAAAGTGTAGATATCCTCAAAAAAATGATCATAATCATCATATGTAATAAAAACATAGGCCCCAATGTAGCACAGTATACCTGCGGCAGCCTGGGAAGGGTGCAACAAAAATATGGTTAGTGGTTCTGAAATTGCAATAAATTTTTATAAAAACCTGTTTTGAGAGATTAAAACATCTTTCTTTTGTAATTTTTGTTGATTGTCATTTTAATTGCAATATATCAAATTAGGCATCATTTTATACAGTTATCTCTTTTTTGAGCCTGATTTAGAGGCAATATCACAAACAACCTGTGTTGTTATGTCTGTCTGAACGAATCAGTTGTCTCTAGGCCTGTGAGGATCCAACTAAAATGTGGATTAATTTTTATTAAAATTGTCACAATTACTATTACACATTTATTATATATAGTATTTAAGTTGTGTATTGACAAACAGGAACTAATTGTAGTGTTATGCATCACACGCCACCATATTTATTATATAGGCTTTACACTTACCAATTATAATAGGCTTACCAATGGATGTCGCAATCGTGTACTTCAAGTTTCATTATTAGACTTGATTAAGATAAAACATTTATTGAAACAAGTGATGACTGATAAGTTAATATCTCAAAGATTTAAGACAAAGAAAAGCTTTACAATTTTCAGAATTGATAAACAAAAACTAAAAAGTGCTACATATAAATCATTATACAATGATGATATTGTAGAAAGATATACAGTCTTGATTTTCCTTGCAATTACAGTCATCACAGAAATTGGGGATCTTATTTAGCGGATCTTACATTATGGAATAGCCTAGATTGAAAATACAAACATGACACATAAAGGACAAAATAGACAGATCTATTGAAATTCGCCGGTTGAAATTTAGGGCTAGGATTCTTTTAATGTTGATTTGAGTCAAAAAATAGTTTTCTGTCTATTAAAAGCCTGTCGATTATACATGTAAACAACAGCTCATTCGCTGTAGCTCGTGTAACGTTATCCCTGCAGAGATATGCCATAGTGCCCGCTAACCACTGCATTCCAGCTACTGTAGCCAACTTACCCAAAATATCAGATTTAGGAAGACTAAAACCGTCTTCGAAGAAATAATACCACATTGTCCCATGATCACGCTGAGGCTAGGGTAAATATTTTAATCCAGGGAGAGATATTTACGTTAATAGCAGATAGTGCGATTGTCAAGCTCCGCTAGTCAACACTTAACAGAGCATCCAACTGGACAGCGGCAGTCACGTGTCCCACTGACCTCAATAAAGCGAACTGTGCTATTTGTTCTCTCGCTAATAAAACTTAGTCCAATGTCGTGTTGGTCTAAGAAACTGCGCCAGCCGGTGTTCCTTAGGTCATATGTGCCTATTAAAAGAGTCTAAAGACACCCATAAGGAAAGCTATAGATGGGTAGATTTTGCACATCCATCTCAACAATTTGTTGTGGTAGTGGGCTAGTTGTCTGAAAGTGATGTCTTTAGTCAACGAAAATAACAGATATTTGTTCAGGTCACTTCTGATTTATATGCTAGGCTATATATGATGTGTAGCCAGTTCTTTAAAAACAGAAGACAATATGGATGAAATATGTTTTAAAAAGCTTAATCTTCTTGTTAGGCTATATATATATATATATAAAAAAAAAAAATCCAGGCTTCTTAAACAGCATTTAGGCTACAGTCAGTTCAATAGTCAAAGACTAGTTAAAAAAAAAAAAATTAAGACAATGTCAATTTCAGTTCTTCACTGTTGTTATTGTATGAGATTAAAGGCCTACGTTTCTTTGGTTGTCATGTTTAAGAAAAAAGAAGGAAAGTAGTAGGCTATAGCTATAGTGTTATATTGAGTAAATGGAGAACAAGGTCTGGTCAAAGACATTTGTTATCATAGGCCTATATATGTCTAAAGATAATGAGCTTGTGTAGTAAATGTATATCTGAGAAGATTATGGTCAACTGACAGAAACACAGACTCAAAAGGTATAGGCTAAATATATCGACCACAAGTAAGTATTTGCCTATTTGGTAATTGGTTTCACTCTTTCGCTGTCTGAACAAGTATTATATTCAGTTCTCATGGACAAGAAATATATTATAGCAATGTGCTATTTTTATAGGCCTACTATTTTGTTATTTTAGCTAAATCATCTTGTAGTGCTTTGAAATTTAGATTTTAATGGTTTGTCAATGTAACTGTTAAATCTAGTTGAGATGTGTGAAAATATGGTTAAATTATTAATTAATTTGGATTAGTGTATTGCTGAGGTTTGTCTTATTTGATTTCCACTTGTGATGTTTGTGTGATGTTGGTAAAAATGCAAACACTCAAAACTAGGACTGGCCGATAAAACGATAGGCTAATGAATTGCTGAACACCAGAATTCAGCGAAGAACACAAATGTCTCAGTGATTTAAAAAGTTAATTTAAAGCTAAGATGAACAAGCGCTGACATTCTCAACAGCACTGATGAACACATTGCTCCATGAATGATTCAGAAGACTTTTCAATCTAATCGCCATCATTTACGTCATTTCTTGGAGAAATGTGATGTTCCTATTGAATTTTATTGTAACAAATACCATATAGGCAGCCTACTGGGTATGATATGAGGTGCTATATGCGTGGTTTTACCTATGGTTATCATGATCTTGTAGCATATGGAAGACCAATGGTTAATTTTAATAAAAGCCAAACACTCAGAATATTATCATTTTAACCTAAAAAAATTAGATTGTTACAATTTTTACAGATGTTATATTTTTTAATTAATTAACATAAATTTACATCTGTGCCATCAAAGTCAGGCAGCACAAACCTGTTTCATATCATCTAGCACATGCAACTAAGAAATTAATTTGTTTCTATTAAGATATTTCTTTTGTTTAAGAAAAAATACTGAAAATTGATTTTACTTAAGTTAACTCATGCATATTTTGATGTAGAGTTGTCAAAAAGTACCGACTTCGGTACAGATACAGACGGGAGCGTTTGAAAGCAGGTGTTTATCAGCGGACCGGTCATTGATCATTGATCATTGTAGCCAATCACAGACATATTCGATGAGCGCGTGAACACCATGGCCAATCAGAGGTGATTACGACATACCTGTCAAGTTTTGGATTTGAAAATAAGGCAAATTTTCCGGCGCCCACCGCGAGCAGTCCCACCACCCCAACCAAGCTCCAGTATCCCTTACATTTTAAGACAGGTGTTAAATGAAAACACACACACACATATGTATGGTATATATAGGATATTAAGAGCATTATTTAAAGGCTTATTTGCATATTTTCTGTTCATTTAACATTGCTTGTCTTTACATTTACATTTTATTTTCATAACACATTATTTTCATTTCATTTTGCTTTTCTTTTACAGTTTTTCTTTTCATTTGCAGTTTTTCTTTTCATTTCACATAACTTTTCTTTACTCTTTTAGTGAGTTATTGAACAAATTTGTTGCAGACTTTGTATTAACTGTTTTGGAAGGAGTGTATTTGTGGGCTGGGCCAGAGTGGTTAATTTTACATGAGAGTAGAGCAAACAGTTCTGTTGTCTAACGTCATCCTATTCTCTGTAACAATCTTTCGTACCATGCTAAACCTTTCTCGTGTTGACATACATCATTCCTTCCCCGTGTGAGATGCTAGTCGCAGTTACAAAACTTACAAAACGCGTGACTGTCCCCCACCCTGCTCCTCTTCAGAAAAGTAAATTCGCTATCCCATTGATCGCGGTATTTAGTACATGAGTTTTTTTTTTTTTTTTTGGCAGGAGTGCCTTGCTCTGTCGTCCATCATCCGACTCTGTTTTTGTTTGTTTTTTGTTTTCCCCGCGTTGTCACTCATCATCTGACCTCACTAACCTCGCGACAACTGCCACCTACAATAGGCCTACCTGTAGTTATCGCGAGGCTAGTGACAGAGCTCAGATTGGGAATGTTTTTTTGTTTTTTTTACTCCGCCCGGGCCCCGGGGTAGGCTATTATTAATTTTCAATAACGCAGGTTAAAATACGGGAGATTTACGGGAAAATCCGAACACGGGAGGACGGCGGGAAAGAATGGTAAAATACGGGACTTTCCCGGCCAAAACGGTATAGGCTACACGACAGGTAGGCTATGGTATACGATTCCGCTCAAAAGTGCTCAAAGCGTCACAATTTTAAAATTTCAGTAACGACTTGGTGCCGAACTCGGTACTTTTTGAAAACCCTAGTAGAAATTTAAATGTTTTTTTTTTTTGTTTTTTTTTTTTTGTTGTTTTTTAATATAGGCCTACTACCTCAGATTTTTGAGATGTTCACCTTTTTGGCAAGTGTTTGTCATGTTCACACAATAAAGATAGCCTACTTTAAAACCACAATTAGCCTAACTGTCTGATTTATTTCACTCAGGAGCAAAATCTGCCTTTAAACTTGAAAGAAATAAAGAGTTGACATTTATCGTGGTATAGCCTACTTTTTTGTGCCGTAGGCTATATCCCAGCCCTGATACTTTCTGAGATAGCCTGTTGTGCTTTGGTTGATCCCTTTTTAGTTGTTTTTTTTTCCTCGCTCATGTCTCGAATTTCCTTCTGATGTTTTCTGTCCAGTAAACACCATCTGTTATTTCAGCTCATTAATCAATGACAGCACCAATAATAACTGTTCTCTAAATCTGTCAATCTAACCACTCATCTGTTTAACACATTCACTGAACTTTCACTGAAAGAAAGAAACTAAATAGAAATTTAGATACAAATTATGACACTTTTTGCATTGTAGTTGCATGCAGGAGCAACTGACTTCACTAATTTAGTCTTTATTTAATACAAATTATTGAAAAAAAATACAATTCTGGACATCCTCTAAAAATAAATATACAAGTAACTTGTTGCATTTCTTGTGACATGGAGGTGGTTAGTTAATAGACTTAGTTAAGAAGCAAATTACAGTTGATGAAAAAGCAATTACAAATTCCATGTGAATTGAACCTTTGAAGATTTCAGGCAATGGAAGTCATCATCATTTTTTTATTGTCTTGGATGTAGCTTTCTAATATCTTCATTAATATTGCAGTCTCCTAGAACAACCAGAAACAGTTCATATGAATTTATTGTTGATCTGTGGTTAACATGCAGAATTGCGCAACTGACATTTTAAAACAAACAAGCAAATTCATTTAAATCACATTATCCATGAAAAGTATTTACAACAGAAGAATATTCTCTCTCATATTTCATCAGTCATTTCAGACCAGAGTGCATAAGCACTTCAAATCGACTGAAGATCCAGTCTCGGTTCTTACCGGAACTTTATGGCGGATCTCCGGCAAGTCGAGGTGTGCTTGAAGCGCGATCCGCAGCATCTCCTGGTAGAGGTCCACGGGCTCAACCTGCTGGGGATTCAGAGCAGCCTCGAAGGCTTTCATCGTGGAGTCGTCCTCGGGCGGCAAGCGTTCGCTGTCCACGACACTTTTCTTCCCCATAAAATGACCTTAAGTGTCAAATCACAGTTCTGTTCTAGGTATGTCACGTCATAGCACAATAATAAGTCATGTATGCACCTCACCTGTTGCCCATAAATTTCCTCTCGGGTTAACTTTGATCTTTGCAACTTTGTTTCTTAGTTCTGTCAAGTCCAGGCTCACTGAGGACGTTATTGGAATGTAAAAAGAGAACAGCACAAGGTACGTGAGGAATCCACAGTGACAAAAACTGGCTACACTTAATCTGGACATTTCTAAACGTTGTCGGTGTCTCCTTCTCTCTCTCTCAATGCGCGTACATCTACTACGACTGGGGGAGTCAGGTGTTGTTTTTATATCGCGCGGATGGGAGGGCTGGGTATGGTGTCGTGTAGTAATGATGACTTATTGCGTTCCATTCAGGTCCAGCGAACAGCTGCGACGTTGTCAGTATCTGCAAATATGGCGCGTGTTGTGAATATAAGCGAGCCTATGGAAAAGTAATTTTCACTTGCCAACACGAGCCAACATTTTGCAGAGTCAAATGTCTCTGATCTGCAGCGTTGAGTTCAGCACCATGGACAACACTCACATCACATGCTGCTAACAGGGGAGTTTCTGTTGGCTTCCTAAAGGATTTCACTGAAAGATGTTTATCCTTGTTGTTGTTTTTTAAATTGTTTGTCTTAATTCTTCATTCTGTGTAATGTTCAAAACAATGTCACATAAATCATATTTTTACAAATAATATTTAAATAAATGGTCAGTATGTTTTTGAATGGGTTCATATAATACTTCTGGTAAATGATTTAATTGCCATTTGTAATCAATACAGATAATGTGTTCTTTGCATCATGATCCATTCATATGTTTGTTAAATGCAAAAAGGTCAGGTTCCAAAATGATCTTGTGAGTCAAATCACACAATATGGTAAATTGCCGATTCTTGTCAGTTATGACGTTATGTGAAATAGATTTTTTTCGACGATTGGGTCAATGGCATGGCTTACTCTAAAAAGCTTGCTTAAACATTATACAAGTACATAAGTAAAGAAATAAACTTTTATACCGTTTTATAACCTTCATAGAAATCAATTCGTTTCACTGTGGGAGGGGGGGGGGGGGGGGGGGGGGGACTTGCTAAGGGTTGAATGTGAAAATGCAATCCATTACCACCAGTGACACCTATTTTCCCAATAGCCTGACACCCTGAAACTCCAATGGTGTGACTCCACTGACTACACATGGGTTAATGTTTTTTTTCTCTGAAGTCTGAAACAAATGGGCCAGTGACTCACAAGGGACACAGCATGCCATAAAACTCAGATGTGTTGAAGCGGATAATGGCTGATTAATGCTGAGAATTTAAAGGTGCTAACCTTTCCCTGCCTCACACCTTTTTTTATGATAAGAGACTAAGAACTAAGCTGTAGTAAGTTAGAGTGCAGAGAGAGTGTAACCCTGAACCTGTCCTGTCTCTCACCCATGCCATTTTAACATTTACACACTTTTTAAAGTGTGAAAGAAAAAAGCAGAATGAATCATGTTTTATGACGCTGAATGTGATAACCACTATCTAATTATCACTTTGGGTTAGTGCTTGCCCTTTTTTAATAGATGCCAGTGAGGGAATATGTGTCTTGTGTTTTGACAGGATAAATTGAAGCAGCAGAGACAGATCAAATCATTTTCAGAGGTAAGGTAAATAATTTATAGATGGCCATTAAAAGTTAATATTAATGATGATTTAAGTTTCTGAATATATGGAGTTTATCATAAAATGTAATAATTAATGATAATAATTTTATTTTATTATTATTTATTATTATAACATTTCCATAAATGGCAAAATAATTTATTGATTCAAATGTGAGATTGATCATGTGAATGGTTCTGATCTACAAATTACACAATACACTTATCACCTCAGAAAACTTAAATGTGATTGATAACTCAACCTTTTAAAGATATTTTTATCACATCATTCATCTTGCATTAGTTCAGTACACTGGATAGCTATTAATGGGTGGCATGGTAGTTCAGTCGGTAGCACTGTCTTGTTGCACAGAAAGAAGTTCCCTGGGTCGAGTCCTGGCTGAGCCAGGAGGCATTTCTCTGTAGAGTTTGCCAAAAGGACTGGTTTATGTCAATAGATCTGAAGGACGTGTATTTCCGAATACAAATAGCGTCACGTCACAGGCGATTCTTGAGATTCGCCTTTGAGGGCCAGGCATATCAATACATAGTCCTACCGTTCGGCCTGTCCCTAGCACCCCGTACATTTACAATGTGCATGGACGCGGCTCTCGCACCCCTGAAACTTCGGGGCATGCGAGTTTTGAACTACTTGGACGATTGGCTGATTCTAGCTCGATCACACTCAGAGCTCATAGACCACAGGACCATATTACTCGAACATCTCGAGAATCTAGGTCTCAAAGTCAATTGGGCGAAAAGTTCGCTGTCTCCCAGTCAGAGAATATCTTTTCTGGGCACAGAACTGGACTCGCTGTTTATGACAGCGTGACTGTCGCCAGAGCGCAGACTGAACATTCAGCGCATCACAAAATCCTTCCGCTGCGGCACTTTAGTCCCGCTCAAAAGGTTTCAGAAAATGCTGGGTCTCATTGCCTCAGCATCATCAGTACTACAGTTGGGTCTGCTTCGCATGCGCCCGCTGCAGTTATGGCTAAAAGCGCGAGTACCACCTCGGGCATGGACCTCCGGTCTGTTTCGCCTCAAGGTCGATCAGAAATACGTCACAGCTCTGAAACCTAGGAGAGCAATCGACTAGTACCAGTCAGGTGTAAACCTGGGGACTTCCTCGAGTGTGAAGGTGGTGTCCACGGATGCCTTCACCTCGGGATGGGGAGCGCTGCTCGAGGGCAGACCGTTCTTTGGCCAGTGGTCAGAACGGGAGAAGCTCCTACACATAAACTGTCTAGAAATTTTCCCCGAATAAAAGGTCACCACGTCTTGGTCCGCTCGGACAACATGTCAGTGGTGGCCTACATAAATCGCCAGGGTGGCGTCAGGTCCCGAAATCTTTACAGGCTGACGGAACGCCTCCTGGTCTGGGCTCATCACAATCTGTGCTCATTGAGAGCAGCACATGTGCCTGGTCACCTGAATTTGGGACCAGACAGACTGTCCAGAAACAATGTTCCAGCAGGAGAATGGTCTCTGCACCCGCAGACGGTCCTACTGCTGTGGGAGACATTCGGCAGAGCGCAGGTAGAACTGTTTGCGTCCCAAGAAAACGCTCACTGTCCAAAGTTTTTCTCCAAGAGCAGGGATGCGCTGGCCCACTTCTGGCCCCGCTGCCTACTCTATGCTTTCCCCCCGTCTCGCTCCTGCCTCAGGTATTGGAACGAATTAGGGAAAACGGATGCTCAGTGCTACTTGTGGCTCCTCTCTGGAAAAACCAGGCTTGGTTCCCAGTTCTGATGCAGCTGACAAGCACTGCCCCATGGCCAATACCGACGAGGAAAGACCTCCTCTCTCAGGCCAAGGGCTCGATTTGGCATCCTCGCCCGGAGCTGTGGTCCCTGCACGCATGGGCCATCAACGGGTACCCGCAAACCTCCCAAAGGGGGTGTTAAACACGATCACACAGGCTAGAGCGCCGTCTACTAGACGACTCTATTCCTCAAAATGGTCTGTGTTTTCTGGCTGGTGCAAAGCTTGAGGCTTTTCACCCCTAGACTGCGGGGTTACGGAAGTTCTCTCCTTCCTTCAAGAGCTACTGGATAAGGGCAGAACCCCATCCACGCTCAAAGTTTATGTGGCGGCCATAGCAGCGTTTACAAAACCCGCGACTGGCCAGTCACTGGGGAAGAACGATCTGGTCATCCGCTTCCTTAAGGGAGCTAAGAGGCTGAATCCTCCCAGACCCCCCCTCAGTCCCCATGTGGGACCTTTCCACAGTTTTGGAAGCCATGAAAGGTGCCCCGTTCAAGCCAATCCATTTGTCAGACATTAAACATCTGTCGTTCAAGACAGTGTTTCTTATGGCTCTTGCTTCAGTGAAGCGCATAGGGGATTTACAAGCACTCTCAGTAAGCACGACGTGTATGGAATTTGGGCAAAATGACTCGAAAGTCATACTCAAACCAAGACACGGATACGTGCCTAAATCCCTCAACACACCGTTCAGGGCTCAGGTTATTTCCCTGTCTGCCCTGCCGGTTTACAACGAGGAAAAGGACGCGGGCTTCCTTTGCCCAGTCAGGGCATTAAGAGCTTATGTGTCTCGCTCGTCTGTTTTCAGACAGACTGAGCAGCTCTTTGTTTCGTTCAGCGGATGTGCTAAGGGACTAGCCGCATCGAAACAGAGCCTATCCAGATGAATAGTTGATGCCATAGCGCTGGCATACACGTCTAAAGGCTTGAAGTGTCCTTTAGGTGTTAGAGTGCACTCCACAAGAGGCATGGCCTCGTCGTGGCCTTGGTCTAGCGGGATTACCTTGCAGGATATCTGTATGGCGGCAGGCTGGGCCTCCCCGTCTACATTTATAAGGTTTTATAACCTAGAGGTTCCCGCCTTACAGGCTAAACTACTTTCGGTCTAAAAATCAGTATTGTCTGCCCCGTTGCTTCGGCTCAGAAATTTACAACCGCTTGAGCACTGCTTGCTGATCGATAAAATAACTCCATGGTCAAAAGTAAGACCCATACCGTTACCCAGTTCAGGCCGAACATTTTCACCCTGACTGGAGAGGCGGTATTAACATTAAGTGACATGGGCATCTGACGCGCAGATGCCAATGGCACATGTCACTATGCGTATTGGCACATCCGGTGGCACATCCGGTCTCCATTGGCATGTGCCAGTGGATAGTGTCATGTGTCAATGACATTATTGGCATGTGCCAGTGGATAGTGACATGTCACTGACATTATTGGCATGTGCCAGTGGATAGTGACATGACAGACATTATCGCGACACTCTGACACTGTCGCGGAACTGTTTGCCGTCTTGTGACAGTAGTGACTGACAAATGAGCTGAGCAGCTATACTGACGTAATTGTGAAACAAACGCCTATATAAATTGCCTATTTTAGTGATGTTTTTTAAATAAATTAAACGTTTCAAAGTATTATTTTTTTTCTCAAACATGTCAGTTTGTGACACATCAGTAGTCTATGAGTGGCATATAAGCCACTGAATGTTCAAAAATGTAATGCCAATGTTGTTGATCACGCAAACTGCCCATCCTAGGAAACACAACGAATAAATCAGACGTTACTACGAATAGCGCATGAACAGTCGCATCTGTTAGGCTACTACTCAACTGTAACCTTTAATTTTGCATGATGCTGCATGCACGCCAGTAGGTGTCAGTAAGTCCACACTGGCCAGCGCAAAATAACCTAAAACTTGCGACAGTTGAGGAACATCTACGGACTACGGGTGGTGTATTTGTCGTTTGTATGAGTAGCAACTAGCAAGTACAGTAAGAAGGTAGCAACAAAAAAAACGAGTTGGCTAATCAGAGTCTGATGTCGATATAAGTAAACTACAGATAATGAACGGTTTACTACTTTCGGTCAAACATGAACGGTAAGTCAAGCGGTTTCTTCGTCGCTATTGAGGATGGATAACGTTAGATGATTAGGCTACGTTAACTTTAGTCAATGTAGTGTAAAGCATCGAGGTAAAAATTCCCGAAAAACGAATACCCTTAAATATAAATAACTTAGAATGATGTAGATTTCATTGATTATTATATATGTATAACGTTAATATGTAGTGTTATAGCTCTAGTATAAAAGCATAGGCCTACTCTGTCATATCGTAAAATGTTAGGCCTATATTTGCATACCACTACAATTTATAAACTATTAACTTAGGCCTATAAAATTGTTATTATATAGTATTATATGATAAAATATTAATAGATTAACGCAATTGTATATTAGGTGCGTATTGTATTGTATATAATATATGTTTGCCCCTTAAGGTCTTCAAACATTCGAAGACCGTATTAGTTTAATTAAGGCCAATGAAGGAAACAATTGCCAGCTATGCAGACAGGCTGTGGTTGGGTCAGAAGAGCACCTGGAAAAAAAGCATTTTCAATATGCTGTGCACTTTAAAGATGGTGATTTTGGTGAGCATATATTGGTTTTGTAACATATTTTATTCACTAAACCATTAGTTTCATTATACACTACTATTTTCTTTATGTGCTTCCTAACAGTTCTGTTCACTGTACCATGCTTTTGTGACAAAATTGACAAATTAAAAAGAAGTCACTGGCATTGCTTTAAGTGTGACAGGATTTTACAAAGGCGAAATGCATTTGAAGATCATCTGCAGAAACATGGTAGGAATTAATTATTATATTACATGATTATTAATCATGCTATTGCCAAACACATAACCTATTAAAATTACTGTTATCCCTGACTTAATATACTTGTTTTGCAGGTTGCATGGTAACACCATTCAAAGACCTGCAAAAGAAAAGTATGAATTTGTTAATTTTATATTTGCATAGTTATAATTTTCTGTTGATATTTCAAGCCTACGACACTTAATGTTTTCAGTCGTTTCAATAGCATTTCATTTAATTTCATTTCAATGGCATTTAGTCTTGGTCTACAGTATGTGTACATAACATGGTCCATAGCTATTAATTAAGCCTGGTACATAACAACATATGACATACTAATCAAACTCACTCGCTAATTCTGAAATTGCCACTGTTATTTATTTACATTTTTAGGTGAGCCAAAGAAAAATGAAAATGCAGCGAGTGCTCCTGTTGGTGAGCAGAGCTTTATGTGTTGCCACTGCTCATCCTCTTTTACTACAGCAGGGAGTCTTCGTAGACATGAAAATGAGTTTCATGCAACAACCGATCCTGTTTACTGTGTTGATGTGCAGCAAGGTGTCTTCATCACAGCCAAAAATAGTAGAGGCCAAAGAGTCCCAATACATATGCAGAAAAGCACCACCTCTCAAGTCATTGCCTGTGAAGTAGCAGAGTGCCGGGAGTTCATGACTCTGGCTAAACTTAGTGGAAAGCCTGGTGCAGAGTGTGAGCATTTAATCAGAGTTTCTTCTGCTCCACCATACATTCCTCCTGAGCCTGTTAGAGAAGAAACTTTGAAGACGATGCAGGAAAAAGGACTGATGTCCACCACCAGAATGACGGAGTGCACTGAACTTAACAGTTTAGCGTCATCAGAGGGAATCTGCTCTGTTTTTCCTATTTTCTTTGAGAAACATGGATATTCTGGCCGATTTGTTTACTTTTCCATTTATTCAGGAAAGAAAGAAAGATGGTGCCTCTTTGGGCGGACAAGAGTGTCCTTTGACAAATTGTTGGGAGACTGGTATTGCCTTTGTAAAAGCACAAAGAAACAGTATCGATGCGTCCATATCTATATGGCAATGTGGTGGCTCTTCCAAGAAAGAGAAGATTTATTAATTGAGTCTTCCAGAGCAGACAGTAACTTGTCAGGGGGCCCCTCTGAAAACGAAGAGATTGAACTTGGTGTTGAAGGTGAAGGACTAAAGAAGCACCAATTAGTTGCAATGACCAACTATCTCTGGGAAAACAAAAGAATACCAGAAGTGTTGCCACAGAAATTAAGGACTCAGGCAAGTCAGGTCCCGATAAGGTTTGAGCCCACAGAGGAAACATGTCCTTATTGCCCTGGGCCCACCCCACCAGGTCTTACAGAACCAGTGGTTGCAACAAAGAATGCGTCAGTCTACGACATAGATTCAGTGAAGAAAGGTTTGTACATTAGATTAAAAATGAAAACATTTGCAAATGTGTGATAATGCCACAGGAAAGGAAGGTTTTTTTTGTTCTCTCTTCTAATAAAGGTGTTACAGTGTGTGTAAAATACTGCCTGGCCTGCAAGACACCAGTCAGGTTTCAAGAATACACTTCAGGTTTTCATAATTTCAACAATAGTATTATTTTGACAACTCGTCTATGTGCAATGATGACATCTGCCCTAAAGGTAAGAAAAAGTTATTTGTAATCCATATGAACAGCATGTCAAATTGATTTTAATGTATGTATTTTAAGGTATATTTTTTTAATTACCACACTTTAAAGACAAACACGGCCATTGGGCGATTTCTGTCAATGATGGAGGACCTTCTTCAAGTTACAATTCACCACAACACCCTGAGGAAAGCAATTTTTCATTTCTGGGCAATGAAAAGATATAGCTATGACTTTTCCTGTATTCGCTGTGGCCATGAACCACCTATCCTAATTGCTGATGGTAATTGGAAGGTGGCATTTGATTTACCTGGTAAGCTATTTATAGAAATTACAGTGTAATAATAATATATAAATAACAGTTATTTATGATTGGTGTAGCGAATTTATGACGTAATTTTTCCACTAGTCAATCTCCTGAAGAGACCATGTACTCAGAATGTACAACCAAGTGACCTTAGAGTTGATGTTGATGAGAGATGGTCATCATTGGAAAAGGAATTAATTTGTGTTGGTTTCAGTAATGGTAAGAACTAAACTAACAAACATTGATTTATGTGATCACATGGATTGTCATTTAAATACTACATAATTGCTAAGATAGATAATTTGTCCTTTCCCCCTACATCACACATAGAAACAAAGGAGAGAAACCCTTTCTCCAGTGAACTGTCCTACTCATCTTTTGCCCCTTGGCTTGGATCCTCCTGCAGAGCTGGAAAAGTTTTAACAAAAACAGAGATCCTCAAAGGGTTTTCAGATCGTCTAAGTGACAAGTCACCTCCTGTGGACTCGCATGCTGTTGAGGACACAGTACTAAAATTGCTTGAATCCAAAAAGGTATTACTATGCCATAATTATTACTTATAAACACACATTTTATTTTGAAGCAAAAAAACTAAATAGTTACATTTCTTTTTCAAGCCTTCCAAAAGTGAGCTGCTGGCAGCATGTGCACAACTTGGAGTATCTGTTGCTGGCTCTGCCTCAGATATCATTAATCGCTTGGAGGAGCTACTTCTATACAAAGACATTTACCCCAAAATGTTCATCAAACTACAGAAGACTGGAGGTATGGCAACCATGTACAGTTTTTCAATTGAGTTTGTTAGAAGATATCTTTTAGCTTTTGTCTATTCTTTTTTTCAGGTGGTGTTCTCCATGTTGGCTGCCCACATGCAATTGTTTACGTTTGTTCACCTCTTTGGTGGCAAGAGTCAGCGAGGGACCACGTTGACGCTCTTCTGAATTTAAAAACTCCACCGACTATCTACATTTCAGATGTAGCTGGACGTGTTGCACGACATGCTAACAATAGAACTCGACAGGCATTTTTCAGGCCTTTTGATGGCAGACTGTGTGAGGCCACAGCTGAAAATGTGGCCAAGGCCTCAGCTAAGGAGCTTGTTGTCCATTTACCCTGGGTTAAAACCATGACTGAAGGTGGACGTGTCCAGAGTCAAGGTAATGAAGCCACTGAAGCACTTGACAAACCTCACCCTATCACAGGAACGTCAGATAGACTTTCATTGTATGACCGCTTTCATCAACGTAACCAAAAACAGGAAAAAGAGAAACTGAGAAGCCTTGATCTTGTCCCAGAGCTCCTTGGTCTCATTAACTCTTCAATGGCAGAGCAACTCAACCGGGAACTTGCCAACTCTCGATACTTTCTTTGTCAGCTGAAAGATGTTCATTTTATGTTTGCACTTCGCTTGGTGTTCCATTTGCATAACTGTAAAGTGAATAAATCATTCATGGACAAAATGCTGAGACAGACACAAGGGGCAGCTGAAGTTGGCCTGGATGGCAGACTGAGTCTCTTCACTACATGTGAGATTGATAGAAATCTTATCTTAATTTGTGCATTTAACCTTATAAATTGAGCGTCAGCGTCAGTTCTGGCAGGCCAGGTAGTCAAGCCGCTGCTTATGCTATTTGCTATCAACACTGTCCCGTCAGCTGATCTGCTCCAGCTGAGCCGCATTAGCTGGTTAACTCCCCTCGCTGCTCAATGGCCAAAGCTCAAACAAGGCGCCCTATTTAAGCTCATTCACCTTGCTCATACATGCTCGCTGCTCGCTCTGCTGGCTCGCTGCTCGCTTCTGCTGGCTCGCTGCTCGCTTCTGCTGCAAATATTGACACAGGACTCGACGTGATTCATTCTCCATTCATCTCTGAAAATCTTCACGAAGCTAAGTTCCTTTTTTCATTGCTAAAAGCTATCAGTGTGTTGGCAACATGCTTCTTGTTAATGCTATCAGTGTGTTGGCAACATGCTTCTTGTTAATGCTATCCGTGTGGCATTTGGGCTATCTAACTAGTCGTTTTCATTAAAATGCTTATGCGATCATATTGGCTACGTGCGTTATCTGTTGTCATTGGCAACTGATCGCGTTGCTCACGCTGGCTTTTACCACTATGCAGCGCAGATTCAAACAGCTTGCTGTGATAGGAATTAACTTCTGCGGACTGCCTCCGGACCGTATACAGCTCATTCTTACGCATAGTGGAACAACTACGGCGGCGACACTCGCTCCGGTTTAACCCTTTAGCTATGGGGCGGTGGTTTCTGCTGCTTACGAACGATACCTCCGTCCCGATGTTCGGGATATTCTTGACGACCAGAAGCCATGAGCTCAAGTCTCTGATTTGTTTCGTTAATAAAACACATTTGATCATTATTTTGCTCGCGCTCTGCTCAGTTACTCAGCGCCCTGAATGCGCTATCAGCTGTTAATTTATTCATCTAGCTCGTTCTCAGAGGTGGATTAGTCATCTATCCATAGAGCTTACACTGTAGACTGTCAAACAGTTTAAATACAGATAATCTAGGTAACAGCATGTTTTAGCTATTGCGCTCTTGATTAGTCATTTCAGTAATTAATTAATATTTTTCGCTATTATAAATCGCTAAATTAGGGCGGCTCAGTCGACACCGTTCGAGACACTCAATTTTGTTTTGGGGGGAATAGCTCATGTAGTCAATAAATCATCCTCTGTATCACAGAGGATTGCCAGGTGTGGTTTTGTTTGGGGGGATATTTTAGCTCTCACAGTCTAAAACTGTGTGAGCGTTCCCTAATGCTGCTGCTGCTGTCCTCTGACTCTCTGCTATTTCATGGTGCTCATGAAAGGTCAGAGGACTCCCTGAACAGAGCCATACCGCCAAATTTCAATTCAGGAACATCAACCTGTTTGCAATCTATTCAAATAATTCTTAATTATTTTGTCTGTGTGTTCTTGACTTTATGGACCTGACAGAAATTGAGCGTCAGCGTCAGTTCTGGCAGGCCAGGTAGTCAAGCCGCTGCTTATGCTATTTGCTATCAACACTGTCCCGTCAGCTGATCTGCTCCAGCTGAGCCGCATTAGCTGGTTAACTCCCCTCGCTGCTCAATGGCCAAAGCTCAAACAAGGCGCCCTATTTAAGCTCATTCACCTTGCTCATACATGCTCGCTGCTCGCTCTGCTGGCTCGCTGCTCGCTTCTGCTGGCTCGCTGCTCGCTTCTGCTGCCCGCCACCTCCCCAGCTCCTCCTTATGCATAACGTGGCATTTGCTATGTCATGTTGCCTGCTCTGTTCACAGGGGGATATTTTAGCTCTCACAGTCTAAAACTGTGTGAGCGTTCCCTAATGCTGCTGCTGCTGTCCTCTGACTCTCTGCTATTTCATGGTGCTCATGAAAGGTCAGAGGACTCCCTGAACAGAGCCATACCGCCAAATTTCAATTCAGGAACATCAACCTGTTTGCAATCTATTCAAATAATTCTTAATTATTTTGTCTGTGTGTTCTTGACTTTATGGACCTGACAGAACTATCTTGCATAAACGTTGATCTAATCACTGTGAATTGTTACAGATAGAGGCACTGACTCAAGATTTCAAATTCCTGAACGGATCAAGGAAAAGAAGAAAGAATTAATCTCGGGTGAAGGACTACACTTTAACACATCACTTTTCCCCATCTTAAAGGAAAACAAGGTATCATTGCAAATATTTAGATTTGGTTTAGCACAAATTGATTTTCAATAACAAAATCATGCCATGTTGGAAATGTCATCATAATAATTGTGTTATCATTCTACATGCCATTATTTACCTGTAGGACAAGCTTTCTGAATTGTACTGCACTGTACAAAATCATACTTCAGTCCTTGTGCAAGTTGACAACTGTACAGCAACAGTTAAAGACCTACAGTCACTATATCCAGCACAATCCATTTTACCTGAATCAGAAGACATCCTACCCAACCAACCATGGCTGACTGATGAAGTATGTACTGTGTTTTTTGGGTTACATGGGTATTAATGTAATCATGGTTTACGAGGACACTTCCTGTCCTGTGACTTTCTTTTTTTTATTCTAAAAATGCAGGAAGTTTTCTGTGATGAGTAGGTTTAGGGGTACGGTTAATGTCGGGGGAAAGAATATACATTTTGTGAAGTATAAAAACAATTTAGTATGAAACATTAACACGTATTTATTAGGGGTGTAACGATACACGTATTCGTATTGAACCGTTCGGTACGAGGCTTTCGGTTCGGTTTTCGGTACGCATTTTTGAACCGAACGGTTCGTTGGACCATTTTTCCTGCCGACCAAAATTTCGTTATTTCAAATGAAGGCGCGTCACGCGTGGCAAGCGCGCTCATAATGTGCGTGACCACAACATTGCCCAACATCAAATGGCAAATGTAATGTAAGCGGAACGAAACCACTCGTTATTGTGTGGTTGAAGGACCGTTTATCAGTTTGGACAAATACAGCGCGAGCCGATCTTAATCATCAGCACTGTTACTACACAGCCAAATCCAGTAAAGAAAGCATTTGAATTCGCCACTGAAGTAATAACATCGCTGCAAGATCTAGTGAGAAACATTCGCATTTCTCCGTTATTAACGGATCAAACAGCGCTGACGTGGAAACCAGGAAGAAACATTGTGCCATGAATGAACTATCCAGTGTCCACAGATCAGCAACATTCACCATGGGTTTACTGTAGTAACACTACTAACTGTAACCATGGAAGTTTGGCAGGAATAGTAGGCTATAATGCTTTCAAGTAACATCACGTCGGTTTTATTTTGACATTATGAATACAATTGCTGCCCTCAAATGTTAATCTGAACTAAAATAAACCTTTGTTTAAAACTACTACAATATTACATTTAATTTTGTCCAAGGAGCTGTTTTGTTTTATAAGCTCCTAAGAAAAGTCAAGTATAGCTCCATCATTGCTCAAAGTTAAAAAATATCATACTTTATGATGTTAGTTTTAATAAAAATATAATTAAAAAGATTAAATCAAGGAAATTTCTCTGGCATTTCTTTCTTTTTGCTGTATCGGAAACGTACCGAATCGTACCGAACCGAACCGTGACACAAGTGTATCGTATCGAACCGAACCGTGAATTTTGTGAACCGTTACACCCCTAGTATTTATGTGTAATAGGCTGTCAATACTAGAGTAGCACAGCTTGCATCTACAACACCCAATGTAAGTACATATTCTATTTTCTAAGAGATTTGATAAAAAATACTTATTGAATTAATTATATACTGTATGTATATATATATATATATATTAATATATATATATATATTTTAAATGTAATAATTATTTATATTTATATTTTCTGCAAGTTTGTGATGCTCCCGACATTTACATTTATTTGCTGGTGGAGAGACTGGATCACTCAAACAAAAATATCCCCTCGAAATGTATCATGCTTGAAGGTATACTGTTCATGTACACGCAATCACACACACACACACATATATATATATATATATATATATATATATATAATATGTGTGTGTGTGTGTGTATGTAGATTGTTATGGACTGTTTTGTAATAGCAATTATTACACAGAATTGTTTCTTTTATTTTGAAAAGAACCTTAAAGGAAGTGACACTGTGGTTTTTCCTCGATGTGTCAGTAAGAGTGAGAACCCTGAGTTTGGGAACCACTTCATTTTGTGGGTTAGTTGAAATAATTAGATTCTAAAAAATTATTTTAATATTAATTCTTTTTTTAATTCTATTTTTATGTACATCTTTTCCTTTTAATATCTTCAAACTCAAAGGTGTTCTGTGGTCAAAGTCATGAGATCCGGGTGTTTGATTCCATGGAGCTTTACAAAGATATACCAAAGAGTCATATGGAAATACTTTGGTAATGTATTTCTACCCTTTTTTAAATATCTGTGCTGCAGCATTTTAGGTACATTTAACATTTACATTTATGCATTTGGCAGACATTTTTTATCCAGAGCGACTTACATTGCATTTCAAGGTTCACATTTACATTCTTATCAGTTCTTACTTTCCCTGGGAATCAAACCCAACGCTCTACTGTTTAAACTACAGGAAAGCTATACATATAAAGCACATTGACCATTCAGTCAAACTGCATTAAAGATGCATTTTTGTCTACTGTGAAGTAACCATGTGTAATCTCTTAGTCATAAATGACTATATGTTATATTTCAGATTAATATAAAGGCAGGGTAATCTGAATGAACTTTCAATACAAATGATCAGTCTGGATGCACTTTCATATTACATTCAGATCAGCAGTGTGTAATAATGTTCTTGTCTGTGACTCTGTCTATGCATCTTTTTCTTCATCAGTGATGCCTTCAGTAACACATGGAAACTTGCTGATTGGATTATCTCTTATCCACCACAGTGGCTGCAGAGCAAGGGTGATGCAAACAACTGTGGAGTGTTTGTATGCACTGTAAGACATAAAGCCTATAATAAATATGTATTTTTATATTTGTAGTTTCAAAATTTTTAGCTAGCTTTAAAGAACATTGTTTTTATTTCATCAGAAAAAGACTGGTAAAATGTTATGGTCTGACTAATTTAGAAAATACACAACTAATGTTTCATCTTTCATTTTTGTTCACCTTGAACAGATGGCAGAGATGGAGCTGAAGGGCTTCAGGTTGAGAAAAGAGACCATTGGTCTGTCACAAACACAATATCTACGAGAATATCATGCAACAGACTTAGTAAAAGATGTTGTTGTAGAGGTTGGTTGTCTTATTATTGTTTTAACTCGAAAAATGTTTCAGACTAATAATTTACAGGAACAGAACATTGTTATTATTTTTCATTATAGGAATCAATGAAAATACCAGAAAAACCGATGGAGTGTATGGCAGGTGACTTGCGTGTGTGCTGTTTTCAGAAAGTGGGCAAAGGGTAGGCCTTGTTTGTTTTGACTTTTTACTGTATATTTTTAGGTGAATACACTTATTATACCATGTGTATCTTATTCACAGGCCATTGTATCCCAGTGTTGTCAAGACCTTGTGGGTACAGTGTGACATGTGTTTGGGCTGGCTACACACAGATTGTGCTGGAGTGAAAGAAGCAGATGTCAAAAAAGGCACTTTCAAATGTGGATGTGATTTGACACAACCATACACTTTTGATGAGTAAGTTTAAATAGAAAGCTTTTACTGTCATTAAGAAACATGGAGTTGGATCATGGTCTAGCCCATAATGACTTTTTATTTTTATTTTCACTGAAAAGTTTGATCATGCTAGAAATAAATAGGAACAAAAGATACTCAACATTAATATTATGGTACTTCAATTCAGGTTTCATAATCAGTATAAAGCTACATAAACTTTGATTTAGCTAACCACTTATTAACAACCTTTTGTGGTGCCACTGGTTCATTGTCATCTTCTGAATAATCAGCTATTCTATAGCCTGTTTTTTGTTCTATGCTATGTCATAACCTGATGTTGATGACATCTACATTATTGTTTCTTTGTAGCACTCGGAAGGCTCTGAGACTTGGAATTGAAAACATAATCTCAGATCAAGACATAAAAGTGAGTACTATAAAATCACAATTAACATTTTATTGGCATATATATATATATATATATATATATATATATATATATATATATACACACACCATTTTAACACAATTCTGTTCCAACAGGCTTTACATGAAGCTTTTCACAATGGAGACATCAAATCCTGTCGGTTTTACCTGTGGAAACATCCAGAGACATCACTGAAATTCAAGCAGCACTTAAAGCCAAAGCAGTGCCATTTCAGCGAAAGTGATGTGAGGAATCTTATTGTTTTAAGCGTTTCACATTTTACTTGCAGTATATGTTATTGTTATATTACAACAAGTTCCTTATTATCCTAAATGATTCAATATTATCATATTTAATAGCTGATTAAACTTGCTGACAAAATAAAGAGAGCAGTGGATGCAGATGAGGATCTTGAAAACCTGAACTACATATTTGATGTTATGATTCCAGAAGTATGTGGTAATTATCTTAATGATTGAGGTTGATTTGTGTTATTTGTTGTTTGATGAAAAACTACTTTTTTCTTCTTCTTTTTAAGGTGACCATACTTCTTCTACAAAGATTGGAGAAGATTTGCCGCTATGCGGTTGAAGTTGTTATGGCCTCTGGCATAGTTAAGTTACAATAATTTGAAGTATGCTAATGCATCAACTGCATTTATTAAAAGGGGGGAAAAAGCCATTACTTTAACTTACATATTTGTCGAGTCTCTTTTCTGTCTCTGCTTACTGAAAAAGGTGTATGCATTTTAAAAGCTACCATTGACTAAACATTGGGGATTAGTCTACAATAACAACAAATTCATTTAATATATATTCCTTCTGGAGATGCCCACATGTTTTGTTCAAATATTTGACTTGCTGTATCCACATTATAATAGATATCCAGTTTAATATAGGATCTAAAGATGTACACTACTCTGCATTGTGAAAAGCCAGTGTCAAGGTCAAGGTTCATAATTAATTTAACAATGGTATGTGTCACTTTACAATGGTTTGGGGCATTTTATCTCATACTAGTTTACAATTATTTGAAATACCTGATTGTTAAGTGTCAATTTGTGGTGCACAAACAACATACTCCTGCTTGTAAGTACCACTTTAATAAGAACATTTTACTAAAATAGCTAAATAGTTTCTACTGTATATTCTTGTATAGTTACAAATGACACAGCTGAACTGTCGGTCCTATATGCAAATAGAGATAAATGTGTTATCATAACAACTGTATACAATATGTAGGTATTAAATACATTGTCTAAATGATAAAAAAGAACCATAGTAAATATAAATGCATACAACGGACCACGATATTAAAAATATGGCGAAGCCCAATGTTTGTAAAAATTAAGACCGAGATGTAATGTCTGAAAGCATCGTATTATTAATCAAATGTTCTGCCGTTCATCACACCATACATAGCAGATAGCAGCATGTGTCATTAGAGGTGTCACGTCATACAGCAACATGTTCCGCAACAATGTCAGTGGCACATGACGCAGTCGTCTGGTGCATGTGGTTTTCATTGGCATGTGTCAGTGGATAATGGCTTGTGCCAATAAACCTTGTGACGTGTCAGTGGATAGTGGCATGTGCCAATAAGTGACATGTTGATGGATTGCTTTATGTGCCAATGACATTGTCGCGGTACATGTCGCCGTATGTTATGACCTTATCACACTCCAGTAGCGTAGCCGCTGTCAACCGGAGAATTATGTAGATGTGATGATATGACATCTACAGAAAGAATGCATGTTCAGATTTATAAAAATTGGTTTATTTCTTATTACATAATTCCTTAAATGTATTTGTAAAATATTAAAGCTAGATGAGTATAAGCAAAAACAAAGTAATCAGAGTCTGTCTGATATCAATATAAATAATTAGTAAATAATTTACTTACATAAATTATAGCTCAATAATATTGATATATTATATATTATATAAATTATCCACTAATTATTAATATCGACATCAGACTCTGATTACTCGTTTTTTTAATTGAATTTTTGCTACTGTATTACTGTACTTGCTACTCAAACAAATGACAAATACACCACCCGTAGATGTTCCTCAACTGTCACCACATGTTACTTTGATAAAAAAAAAACTTTAAAACTTTTAATTTATTTAAAAAACATCACTAAAATAGGCAATTTATATAGGCGTTTGTTTCACAATTACGTCAGTATAGCTGCTCAGCTCATTTGTCAGTCACTACTGTCACAAGACGGCAAACAGTTCCGCGACAGTGTCAGAGTGTCGCGATAATGTCTGTCATGTCACTATCCACTGGCACATGCCAATAATGTCAGTGACATGTCACTATCCACTGGCACATGCCAATAATGTCAGTGACACATGTCACTATCCACTGGCACATGCCAATAATGTCAGTGACACATGTCACTATCCACTGGCACATGCCAATAATGTCATTGACACATGACACTATCCACTGGCACATGCCAATAATGTCAGTGACACATGTCACTATCCACTGGCACATGCCAATAATGTCAGTGACACATGTCACTATCCACTGGCACATGCCAATGGAGACCGGATGTGCCACCGGATGTGCCAATACGCATAGTGACATGTGCCATTGGCATCTGCGCGTCAGATGCCCATGTCACTTAATGTTAAAACTGCTACTGCCTGACTGTGTGGAACACTGTTGATGTGATTAGCTCCCTTAGGACGCTAACTTATTGGGAATGACGCTTCTAGCCTCTCTTTTCAGACTCTTTGTGAGTCTCTGGTGATTATGCACTATGTGAGCCCCGGGCACCTGCCCTTGGGACTTTGGTGTTGGATCCCAGCACGCACGGCGTTTTACACTGTGTTCCCCTAGCGTAAGATATTACGCAGTACGAGAGAACCTCTCGTTGTCACGGTTCATAAATTTATTGTTTCCTTCTTGTCTCGTGTAGTTGTTGTTATGTGTGTGGGAATGTACACTTGATCAGTGATCAGCTGATCAATCTTCTCTCCAGCTGCACCCAATCTGTTCCTGCATAAATACTCATCGCATTCTCCTCTCTTTGTCAGATCGTTGTTTGGTGTTCTCGTTGTGTGTGGTCCTGTTTCCAGTCAGCGTGGCAATGTTGCAGTCTTGTTCCTGTTTTTGTTCCCGGCTTCTGTTTCATGTCTGGATTATTCACCGTTTCGTCACCGTCATCCCTGCACTCGTCTCTTGGATCTTGACCATCTAGTCCCTGCGTCACCAACGCTCCAGAGACTGTTACCTTTTGTATCACCCAATAAAGAGCTCACTTGCATTATTGCTTCCCCTTCATCGATCATGACAGAACGATCTGACCAACAGATGGAAGCAACGAGTGGTTCGTCGTCATTGGAGGATTTCGTGAATTCCAGTATTAGATACATGGACAACCAGGAAAGAGGTCTAAACGACACGACTCGGGCGGTTCAAGCATTGGTGACGCAGGTGTCCGAGCTCACCCAGCAACTACAACATCTGCGAGCTCCCACTGCACCACCCACACCGGCCGTTCCCTCCACACCACCGGAGAGCGTTCCTCAGTTGGAGCCCCGCCTACCAGTTCCACAATCTTATGCCGGTGAGCCAAACTATTGCAGAGCATTTTTAACCCGTTGCTCTATGCATTTCTCACTGCAGCCCAGAACCTTTGGCAATGAACAGGCCAAGGTGGCTTTTGTACTCACCCTTTTGACGGGGAAAGCAGCGCTATGGGTATGGCGGTGTGGGAGAACCAAGACCCATGCTGCGCCTCGTTCCAGGCACTCGCCACCGAGATGAAGAGGGTGTTTGATCGAGCCATCTCCGGGAGAGAGGCAGCTCGAATGCTCACGAACTCAAGCAAGGAGAGAGATCAGTATCGGAATACTCGATCGAATTTAGGACCCTGGCGGCAGAGTGCCAGTGGAACGAGGAGGCGCATTGGGACATGCTCCTGCATGGGTTGGCTGACCGCATCCAGAAGGAGATCTACGCCCTGGACCTTCCTACTTCGCTCAACGCTCTGGTGGACCTGGCCCTCCGAGTTGATGCATGCCTGACCAGGGTGTAACGTTGGAGACTTCCTAACCGGTCTCTGGAGGGTGCTGAGAGTCAGCGGTCCAGCGGCGGGGACGCGGTCAGCCCCGTCTACGATCACGAACCCATGCAGGTCGGGCGAGCTCGGCTTTCCTGGGAGGAGAAGGAAAGGCGGAGATCCCAAGGCCTTTGCCTGTATTGTGGAGCACCGGGTCATTTCGCCTATAACTGCCCAGTAAAAGGCCCAGCCCGGCAGTAAGTATGAGGCTACTGTCGGGTGGGATCTCCGCTGCGAAGACCTCATCAACATCTACGCTCCTCCCGGTAAGACTAAGACGGTCAATCCATAATCACAACTGTCAAGCACTGGTGGACTCTGGAGCCGAAGGTAATTTTATGGACCATTCATTCGCATGCAAATTTCAAGTTCCTGTTTTTCCACTCTCACACAAGATAGCAGTTCATGCACTCAACGGCCAAGACTTACCCACCATTTCTCTCATCACCGGACCATCACGCTTATTACATCTGGCAATCATTCTGAAACCATTTCATTTTATTTATTGGACTCCCCTCTTGCACCTATTGTTCTTGGACATCCCTGGCTCATCAAACACAACCCGAAAATAGACTGGCAGCAGAGAGCAATTGGAGTGGAACAGTAAATGTCATGAGTCCTGTCTTGTGTCTGCTTGTTCGTCTGTTTCTGTCTCTGTCTTTCAGGAGGAGGCAGTGGATTTATCTAACAGGCCCGTGGAGTATCTAGACCTGAAGGAAGTGTTCAGTAAGTCTCGTGCTGCTTCTCTTCCTCCACATCGTCCCTATGACTGTGCCATAGATTTACTGTCAGGTAAGTCTCCGCCTAAAGGCAAGCTTTATTCGCTCTCTGTTCCAGAGAGGGAGGCTATGGAGAAATATATTTCTGATTCTCTAGCAACGGGGTTCATCCGCCATTCCTCTTCTCCAGCGGGGGCGGGGTTCTTTTTTGTGGGGAAGAAAGACGGATCCCTGCGACCTTGTATTGATTACCGAGGACTGAACAACATCACAGTAAAGAATACCTTTCCTTTGCCGTTGATGTCTTCAGCCTTCGAGAGGTTGCAGGGAGCGTCTGTCTTTACTAAATTGAACTTACGTAATGCTTATCATTTGGTCCGCATCAGGGATGGGGATGAATGGAAGACTGCTTTTAACACCCCCAGGGGGCATTTTGAATACTTGGTCATGCCTTTCGGGTTGTGCAACTCCCCAGCAGTCTTCCAGGCACTCGTCAACGACGTGCTGCGAGATATGGTTGACCGTCGTTGATCACGTCTTTCGCTTACATGGCCTCCCGACAGACGTGGTTTCCGACAGGGGACCCCAATTTGTGTCAAAATTTTGGCAAGAATTTTGTAAGTTATTGGGGGCGACTGTCAGTCTGTCATCAGGGTTTCATCCCCAGAGCAATGGTCAAACTGAGAGAGCCAACCAATATTTAGAGAGAACGTTACGATGTTTGGTCTCTAAGAATCCTTCCTCGTGGAGCCAACAACTGTCTATGGTGGAGTACGCCCACAATACGTTACCAGTGTCATCTACGAGCCTTTCTCCGTTTGAGTGTAGTGTAGGTTACCAGCCACCTATTTTTCCTAGCCTGGAATCCAA